CACAGTTCTGGAAACTTCCCTGGAGTCCAGGACTAGGGGGTTCCTTTAGCACCTCATGGCCCCCGCCCCCCTTCCCTGGCTTCTCACAAGATGTTTTCTTCCCACAGGTGGAAAAGGAGGGATCTACGTTCAGGCTGCAAGTGAGTATGGTTGGGGGCGGGGGGTGATCATTGAGACCCTTGGGATAGTGTAGTTGGGAGCCTATGGGGGGAGCTCAGCCACCCCCATAATTCCTCCTTTAGCCGCATCTCCTATGAGCTCTGACCACATCCTGTTTTGTTCTACCCCAGACAGTGACAGTGCCCAGGGCTCTGATGTGTCTCTCACAGCTTCTAAAGGTGAGACCCTGGGTGGCCTAAAGTGGTGAGGGGTTGGGGAAGAAGGGACAGGACTGGGTAATGTGCATTCTTTGGGATATTTTGAGCATGTGGTGGAGTGTTGAGAATGTCACCACATACAGTGACTAACCTGAATTTATTCGTGATTATTTTTTTCTGTAGCATGAGACAGTTAGTTGCTTTATGGCGGAACAAGTGATGCAAGATTTGTTCATGCTCCCACTTCGTCACTTGAAGAACCTCTGATTTCTCTTTCTGCAAAGGGCATCTGAATGTGTCTGCATTCCTATCAGCGTAATGTGAGGAGGTGGGGAGACTGGCCCACCCCCCGCCCACCAAACCCCGCCTCTCCCCACACTGACCTTCGTGTCTTCCCTGATCCATTCTCCTGTTCCAGCAGAGGCTGTGCCATTCCTGTCCCTGTCTTTATTTCATGTTGCACTAAGGTGCACCTTCTTACTGCCTTATTAGAATAATATAAATATGAATTTTTTTCAGTTGATGGGGTGTTTAAAAGAGATGATCCTAAGTTTGAGAGAGGAAATAAATGGAAGCACTGAGAATTTCCAGAATTCTTGTATTTACCTTGCTGAGTCTGTTGTAGGAGAGGCTGTGAGGACCAAGTGTGGATGGGATCTGTGCCCAGTCGGTGCTCAGTGCACTGTGGACTTTGACGTGGTCACTCTTCAGCTGGATCACTTCTCTGCTCCATTGTCCTTGTCCCTTCAGTAGAAGCTTGTCTCACCAGGACCTGTGATCACAGGGACACAAACATCACCCAGGCCTTGTCAGTGAGGGCCTAATGCGGCTAGGTCAGCCTAGGCTCAGGCCTGGGTCTGATCATCATCACTCATCTTCTGTGGGTTTATTTGTTTTTCTTTTTTTCTGTAGGGTATTATGACTTTTTATAGTTGTTTCAAGTCCTGGTCTCATTCTCCTCTGGGTGTCCTTCATCTCTGAAAGTCATTTCCCTATTATTTTCCCCACAAGACTCAAGGTGTCCCTGCACAGAGGAGTCTATGGTCAGGACATGAATTTTCAGTCTCATTCTGCTCTTGCCTCCTTCTAGGGCTTGATCGTTCTTTCCATCTTTTCCCTAACTTCTTCAAAGAAACCAGATTGTAGAATTAGCAGAGAGGAGGGAGTCTATAATTTCTCACCTTAGGTAAGCTCCTATTGGAATTTTTTTTTCTACTTGCCTACCCTTTCTTCCTACTTTAGCTTTAGTAACCCTAGTGCTGTCTCCAATATAAACTCAGGGATTTATAAAGCAGAGTCTACTTTAGATTTCTTTTTGGTTGTAACATAGGACCCGTAAATCAAAGGTCATTGTTTTCTGGAGAGAGAAATATAATTGTGTGTTGTGTGCAGGAGGGTTGGTGTGGGAGGAAGAGATGAGGGGAAGAGGGCGGAGCAGCACCTGTGAGAAAAGTAGAAGTGACAATGACGCCAGTGTGAGTGGACTTTGTGCTGTAGTTGCCACAAAACAGCATTTGATCTGAGGCCATATTTCTAAAGATACTGTCTCTAGAACAGAGAGGTGCTATACGGTGATCATTCATTCAACCGATATTGGTTGTTGCCAGATGTATGGCACAGTTTTTGCATCTGGGAAAAATCAGTGAAGTGAAATCAGAAATTGCTGGCCTTGCAGAGTATATGTTCAGGTGAGAAGAGGCAGACTATATAAGCACAGCAAATAAGGAAGGTGTTTATGTTAGAAGGGGACAAGTGTTGTGGGGAAACTGTAGTGGGGATGGTGATCTAGAGTGTGCGGGTGTGGGAACAGGGAAGGTGGTCATTATGATTTGGGAGGTCAGTGTGGGCCTCACTGGGGAGGTGACCTTGAGGAAAGGTTTGAAGGACATGAGGAATTATGCACGAGGATGCCTGAGGGAAGTTTTCCCAAGCAGGGGAACCTGCAGTGGGAACGCCCCAGGCAGGAGTGTGTCTGTGGTTTCTGGAAGGAGGGAGGGGGCTGGTGTGGCTACAACAGAGAGTAATGGAGATGAGACAGAGGCACGGCCAGACCACGTGGACCTGGAGGATGTTAGGAGGGTGCTGACCTGTGCTCTGAGTGAGGTGAGAGTTACAAGACACTTTGGAGAAGAAGATGGACAGGTATGACTTCTCCTTTAAAGGGATGGCTGTGGCTGCTGTGCTGAGAACAGGCTTGGGAGGCAAATGTCAGAGGAGGCAGTAGGGAAGCAGTAGGAAACTGCAGGGTTCCAGGCTGGAGATGCTTCCATGACGGGTGAGCGGTGGAGATAGTGGAGGTGGTGGGAGTCTGGGTACATT